CTTCTAAAGGCCTGGCGCGGTGGCTCACGCCTGTAATCCTAGCTCTCTGGGAGGCCGAGGCGGGCGGATTGTTTGAGCTCAGGAGTTTGAAACCAGCCTGAGCAAGAGCAAGACCCCCGTCTCTACTAAAATTAGAAAGAAATTAATTGGACAACTAAAAATATATGGAAAAAATTAGCCGGGCATGGTGGCACATGCCTGTAGTCCCAACTACTCGGGAGCCTGAGGCAGGAGGATCGCTTGAGCCCAGGAGTTTGAGGTTGCTGTGAGCTAGGATGACACCACGGCACTCTAGCCAAGGCAACACAGTGAGACTCTGTCTCAAAAAAACAAAACAAAACAAAAAAAAACTCTTCCAAAGCATGGAAGTAGACAAAGCTGTGACATAAAGGGTATGATCTTAGGAAATCAAAAGAGATGGCAAAACCAAAAACACTGTAAAATGTTTCCTTACTAATCTTTTGGGAAAATGGTCTGACGGTTCCTTAGAAGGTTAAATATAGAGTTACCATGTGACTCAGAAATTCCACTCCTAGAACTATACCCAAGAGAAATGAAACCATACATCCACACAAAAACTTGTACACAAATGTTCATAGCAGTATTATTTATAATAGCCAAAAAGTGGCTCATTCCTGTAATCCCAGCACTTTGGGAGGTCGAGGCAGGAGGATTGCTTGAGGCCAGGAGTTCAGGACCAGCCTGGGCAATTTAGTGAGACCTGGCTCTACAAAAAGTAAAAAAAAAAATTATCTGGGTGTAGTGGCATGTGCCTATAGTCCTAGCTACTTGGGAAGCTGAGGCAGGAGTTGAAGGTTGCAGTGAGCTGTGATTGCACCACCGCACTCTAGCCTGGGTAACAGAGCAAGACCCTGTCTCCAAAAAAAATAAATAAATAAGTGGAAACAACCCAATTATTCATAACTGATGAACAAATAAATAAAATGTGGTATATCCACACAATAGAATATTGTTTGTTCATTAAAAGAAAGAAAATACCAGTACACATTATGACACTGATAAACCTTGAAATCATCCTGCTAAGTGCGGAAAGCCAGACACAAAAGGCTATATCTTATATGATTCCAGTCATATGAAATGCCCACAATAGGCAAATCTGTGAGACAGAAAGCAGAGTAGTGGTTGCCTGGGGCTGAGGGGGCTGTAGTGAAATGGAAGTGATTTCTAATAGGCATGGGGTTTCTTTACGGAACAACAAAAAATGTTCTAATTGATTCCTGGTAATAGTTGTACAACTCTGTGAATATACTAAAAACCGTTGAATAGTACACTTTAAATGAGTGAATTGTATGGTGTGTGAATTGTATCTCCATCAAGCTGTTATAATTTTTTTTAAAGCTGTTAAGCTGTTATAATTTTGTTAACAAACAGAAGCAAAAACCCCAAGCCTTTGGCTGTGTGTGGTGCTGCATTGGCAGCAGAAGTCAGACTTTCTTAATGGGTCTCTTTTCCTTGGGCAATAATATAATTGCATAGTGTGTGTGTGTGTGTGTGTGTGTGTGTGTGTGTGTATCATCCTCAAACCTATCACCTGAAAATGGATAGACTGCTAGCATACTCTATCAAATTATACTATACCATGACATGAACCTTGCTTTATTTCTTTTTTCTTTTTCTTTGTTTTTTGAGACAGAGTCTCACTCTGTTGCCTGGACTAGAGTGCCATGGCGTCAGCCTAGCTCACAGCAATCTCAAACTCCGGGGCTCAAGCAATCCTCCTGCCTCAGCCTCCCGAGTAGCTGGGACTACAGGCATGCGCCACCATGCCCGGCTAATTTTTTCTATATATTTTTAGTTGTCCAGCTAATTTCTTTCTATTTTTTAGTAGAGATGGGATCTCGCTCTTGCTCAGGCTGGTCTCAAACTCCTGAGTTCAAAGGATCCGCCTGCCTCGGCCTCCCAGAGTGCTAGCGTTACAGGCATGAGCCACTGCGCCCAGCCATGAACCTTGCTTTAAAACTGTCATTGGTCACTTACACTTACTACCAGCCTGAGGATCTACAAGCCATTTCTAAAACAGACATAAATCTGTAATTTGGGGAGCAGATCAGTGATCCAAATGTTCTGTCTAACAGATTGGCCATATTAGAAATTGATCATGAGCTGACACTCTGATCAGCTTTACCCATCACAAATTCTAAGCCTTTAGGAGTGTCCAATTCTGGACTTAGCCTATCTCCACGAAAGGTATCAACCCTGTATTTGTGGAGTTTCTGATCTAAACAATCTTCCACAGTGTCTCTTTCATTCTATCCTTGTATATGGATCTATACCAAAAGTTCTCTGTGGTAATTCTATCTTCTTACTCTATTTCAATCCTAGAAATATCAAGTTACTTACTATCTGACCCAGATAGTCTAAACATGACTTTTGAACTCTTTCTTGAAAGAAAACAACAAAGTTCTAAAGTTGCTCTAGACACTGCTGTTAAACTAGCATGGTGATGCCTGTTCTAATAGTTATTTTATGAAATTACTGTTGAAATATACTTAGAAACTAATGCTATCTTACTGGGAGGATTGTTCTAAGTTTTATAATGGCCTTCGGTGAAAAGAAATCACATCCTCCCTGGTCTGAATGAAGAGTTGTACCTGATACTTGAAGGGTGGTTTGATGCAGCTGCCAGTCTTGCCAGTGTCCCCAGGGTCTGGGGTGAGATGGGGTAGAGCAGGGGCTCTGGGGTCAAACTGCCTGATTTCTTAAACTGACCCCCTCATTCTAGACCAGATACCCGACTCCTCAATGCCTATTCATATATAATATGAAGATGAATGATAGTAACCATCTCACAGAGATGTTGGGAGAATTAATTGTATAAATAAGGTACATAGAACAGAGTCTGGTATATAGTAAGCACTCAATAAACTTAATCTGTTCTTCTGTGTCCTTATCAGCCTTGTAAACTGACAGGTGTTGGTGGTGGTAGGGGCTCTATTTACTTCCTGGGAGACTCCTCTGGCAAGGATCTTGGACTTGGTTCCTGAGAGCAAATTGATCTTCAAGGATGGGGCCGTGCCTAAGCAGTGGGGTTCAATTCAGACAGATCAAGTCCATTTCCTTTCTCCCTGGGTGGGGCCATTAGAGTCTGCGAGGGGCCTAGCCTTCCCTCTCCAAGAACCCAAATCCAGTAGGATGACTCAACCTTCCCTAAACATACACTTTCCAAAGTGCTGGAGTGAATGCGGAGATCTCACCCCCAGGAAGTCCAGGGTTATGGTGGGAAGTTGAGACCTTTAGGGGTGGGACCCTGCATTCAGGATGAAATAAATCACTTAGCAGAGAAGCCTGCAATAGCTTCCTTGGGCATTCCTTGGTGCTCTGACTTGCACTGTTTAGACTTTCTTTAACTATAACCCAAAATCTTGGGTTCCAGAATCCACCCAGTCTCATTCTGCCACTACAACTTGCATTCCACAATCGTTTAGTTTGGTAATGACCCTGCCTGTCTGCCCTCAACTTGCAATTTGATACCACAGAGCAATTTATGCAGACCTGTGCTCTGGTAATTCATGTTCAGTCTTGGCCAACTCTGGCTCTTTCTGATTCTGTGCTGTTACTGTGCCTATGTTGATATACTCGACTCTACCTGTGCCCCTAAAAGTCTCCCTATCCCTGACAGAAGCTCAGGTCAACTTGAGACAGAGCACTTTCCTTCTCCAAAGGGAGAATGTGGGGGCTGGGTGCAGTGGCTCACCCCTGTAATCCTAGCACTTTGGGAGGATTCCTTGAGGACAGAAGTTCAAGACCAGCCTGAGCAAGAGCAAGACCCGATCTCTACAAAAAATAGAAAAATTAGCTGGGCATGGTGGCCCATGCCTGTAGTCCCAGCTACTCAGGGGCTGAGGCAGGAAGGATTGTGTGAGCCCAGGAGTTTGAGGCTGCAGTGATCTATGATGAAACCACTGCACTCCAGCCTGGGCAATAGAGTGAAACGCTCTCAAAAAAAAAAAAAAAAAAAAAAATTCAAGCACAGAGAAACCAAATTATTTGTTTAGAGAAACAGAGAAAGAGCTAGAAATTTAGCTGGGCCAGAATTAGAACCGTCAGATCACAATGCATCTAAAATATAGTAATCAACAAGACTTCATTCTTAGAGAAACCAAATTATTTGTTTAGAGAAACAGAGAAAGAGCTAGAAATTTAGCTGGGCCAGAATTAGAACCGTCAGATCACAATGCATCTAAAATATAAAAAAAAAAAAAAATTCAGGCACAGAGAAACCAAATTATTTGTTTAGAGAAACAGAGAAAGAGCTAGAAATTTAGCTGGGCCAGAATTAGAACCGTCAGATCACACTGCATCTAAAATATAGTAATTAACAAGACTTCATTCTTAAATAAAATGTTTTAATAAAATACTGCACATATATATTTTTCTTTTCAAAGATGTTATGAGCAGGATGGGTGGTGTGAATGATAATATATGGTGTACTATATAATTAGTAGGAAACACAAGGACTTTCAAATAAATAGTCTTCAGCTTTTTTCTTTTTTAAGGGCATATTCTGCAAATCAGCCGAGATTGGAGAATAGGCAAGGAGGAATGGGCTTTTCCTCTAAGAATGTGCCTGGGTTGGCTTGGGATAGAGAAAGGAGTCATAGTTACCCCCCAGGAATCAAAAGTAACATTGGAGTGACCTTCCGGAGAGAGGAATCCTGGCCCTTGCCTTGCTGTTTTGTCCAAGATTTCGGAGTTTAACTGCAACATACAAAAAGCATCCCTACAGGGTTGCCCGTTAGCCATCTGAAGATCCAGCAGGGCGGATGTGGAGCCAGTGGAAAATTCTGGGGAAAGCAGAGCAAGCAGAGCTGGGCTTATAAGGAGGAAGATGTAATGTGATAGAGGAGAAGTCCACTATGCCTGAATAGTCCGATCTGGTACTACGTGTAGGTCACCGCAGCCATTCAGAAATCCGAGGAAACACAATGATGAATGTATTATATACATACATGTATAGTAGAAAAATACGAGAAGCAGAATTACCCCGTTAACCACTTGTTAATTATACTTTAGGTTGGTCCCCCATGATTGAGAGTGTCTTATCATATAATTGAAGCCATTTAGACATTGCTTGGCACATAGTCTGCGTGATGTGCGACATAGTAAAAACTCTGCCCTCATCCATCCTTCTATCAAATCCACTGCTTCTCTCTCCTTTTCTTGGTAACGATGAGCACAAGTAGTAAATTCTCAGCTGGGATCTCTGGCCTGGGCTTGTGAGCTGGCCCTACCTGGAAGTCTTGCTTTGGTTTATCTGGCAGAAGAACAAGTAAATCTTCAGGGAAAAATCCAGAATGACCCCACTTCTAACAGTCAAGGCTTTCTCAAATAGCTACATTGGCTTTTCAAAAACATCACCCAATGTGATTTGGGTTGTAGAAAGGGCAGGGGGTCCACTGAGCTGACGTTAGCACCTCTGGCCTCAAAATGAGCTGGCAGAAGACCCTAGTCCCCCTCAACCCTGGCACAGTCATGGACTTCAAATACTGAAGACTCCACATCCCTTACAAAGACTTCTTGTGCGGCTGGCCCAGGACCCGGGCGAGGCAGTAGGGGATGACACTGACAGATGCCAGCGGCACTGCGGCACTCTTGCAAAAGGACAGGATGTAGAAGATCAGCTCGATTTGGGATGGGGGTTTTAAGGAGTCAAAGAGGTGCAGGAGCACGAGAGAGGCCATGATGCAGCTGAGGCGGAATGGGAGCCACTTGCTGAGTTTGCCCTTGCAGCTCTCCCGGTACATGCTAGAGTTGAGCGCCAGCCCCAGGCCAAAGAGGGTCCCCAGGTTCTTGAGGAGGCTGGCAAAGGGCGTGGTGTCAATGTGGATCCATTCTGGCCGCTCACACCACCTCTTGGCCTTTTCCAGAGTCCACAGGAGGTCTACACCCAGCCCCTTTAGCAGCAGGTAAAAGCCAATGGCAAAGCTGAACAGGAAGAAGGTGATGAGAAAATATTTCTTGAGGCTGGCGTTGTAGATGCCCCGGATGTGGCGGAAAGTCTCAGCCACGGCAATGCCTGAGTGGAAGAAAAGAATGACTGTGAGAGACAGGGAAGATTCTGGACCTTCAGGAGAGGTGGATTTGCAGCAATGGGTAACATACCATCTGTCCTGCCATTGTGGAATTAAATCACTAGACACCAGATTGGAGGGTCACCTGGTTTATTCCAGCCTGTTCTCAGCACAGACACTTTCAGATGGAAATGTCATGTCACATACATCCTCCCTCTGTATGCAAGTTTCCTGTCAGGGGTCCTCCTGTCTCTACTTGAATATCCCCCCAGTGGTGGAGAGCTCACTCCCACTGGAACAGCCCATTTCGTCTTTGAATGGATTTGATTGCTAAATAGTTCTTCCTTGTGCTGAGCTGAAATCCATCCTCCTCCAA